ATCACAGTTTGAAAGAGTGTTAAGAAGTCCAATACCACTTGCTTATTCTATTCATTTGGCACAGACTGTTTGGGTTTATTGTTTGTCATTGCCTTTCCAATTGGTGGGCCAGGCTAATTATGCTACTATTCCTATTGTATTCTTTGCTTCTATGGTGTTGATTGGTATTGAAAGAATAGGTGCTGAGATTGAGAATCCATTTGGTTATGACGAAAACGATCTACCATTAGATGACTTTTGCAAGTAAGTAAAAGAACGAAGTGAGACTAAAAGGGAAATGAGAAGTATTGAAGAGGGTGATGAGAAGAGGAAAGAATTAAAATTAAAATTAATCAATAATATTTCTATTTTTTATTTATTTAGACATATTAAAGATGAACTTGATGGAATCATTTCATCTTCGATTCGATATGAACCTCCGAGTCCGTATAGTTTGAAAGAAACCAAAAATGATGATACGAGTATTGATATTGAAAAATGAGTAAGTAGCCAATAGCTACGAATGGTGATGCTGGCGTTGGGTGTAATTGTTATCAAATTTGTGTCAATATGAAATTTAGATTTTGGGGTGGGGTGTTCTGGATACAAATTTTGATTGGCTAATTTGTATTTCATGCAAAATTTATTATTTTAATATTTTTTAATTCACTTCTTTCCTTGATAATAATTTAATATAAAAAACAATAAAATACGATATTTCACCAATACATTTGTGTGTAATGGCGAATTGATTTGTTAGGTGACAATTTCGATCAAAAATTACTGATTTTTTTAGGTGATTCTTTATGCTTTAGAAATTTCAAAAAAATTTATTCAGCAGAGAAAATCTAAAAATGAATGTCTGTGGCTTAACATACTGAATAAATGTAACAATTTCAAAAAAGTAAACTAGGTATAAATCCATAAAATGAATGTTATATATATATGCTTTTTATCATAAATCAGCCTGGAACTCCCATTTATATGATTAATTATTATACAGCTTGGGAGAACATATTAGTGACGCTGATAAAACAAGCTTGCATTTTTTTGTACTGCTGTAGAAATTGGACAAAGATTCAAAGATGTCAAAAACTTTCTAATCTAGAATAACTGAAGCAAGCTATATAAACTCGATACCTCCCATTAGAGGAGTTCTGGAAAAATTTATGTAAAAACTGAGTTCTCGAAGTTCCTTTACATATAAAATAAAGCACAAGAAACTAGCGCAACAAAT